TAGGGCTAAGGTTTTTTTTTGAATTGAGTGGAGGCTGAAGAAGATACCATAGGTCATGAGATAAGCTCCTTAAATATGGAGAGAACCCTAAAATTTGTGGGCATAGGCTGCAAGCATTCTCATGATGTGACCACTCTCTTATCACGTCGTGACAAGCTTTCCCAAACATGCATTTTCAATTTCCATGTATCATGTCGTGACCTCCCTACGATCATGTCGTGACACCCGGTTTTACCCTAAAACCTTGCCTTTGACCCCTTAAAACCTAAATTGACCCGTTCTGGAAACTGGGTATTAAAATTCTCCCCCACTTAAATTAAATTTTGTCCTTGAAATTGGTTCTTGTTTCCACTCTCAAGTAATCCCTTGTGGGTCCTTCAAACCCATGTCCTTCAAAGCAGGTTGGGATCGCTTGAATGCCAAAATCTGTAATTGTTGCTAACAATGGTTCCAACCCAGGATTATAAGTAAATCCAAGAAGAGACCCCAAGATGTGAATCACCTATATTGCAACATCTCTTGAGCAGTCAATGCTCTCGTGGCAATTCTGACAAACCAATTTGTTTTTGATACTATGTGTCCTGAAGGAAACGCCTTCATACGACATCCTTAAACCATGACGAGAAGAACCCACTTCCTTATCCATAACCTGCAGATCGCTAAGTTTTACCCAATCTTCTGGTGGACAAAGCCGACTTATTTTCACCCATGCTGACCAATACTTGCATAACTGACCTGATCAACACCTCCTGATCTTGCACCTCCCATCTAAAAGTCAAAGAAGGAAACCACCACCCATGTCATAATCGACAACCACGTATACTCCAACGATAAATTCTTACAAATCCCAACATACAAAGCTAAACCAAACCTCACATCAATTAAGTTGGCCGAAAATCCATATTTATTATCGGTTCGAGAACTTCGCAGACAAACACCATCCTACAGAACAATGAGTCACAAAACTCTCGACCGACCGCCACAATGCTAAAACTAGATATAAATGCACTAACATAAAGGAAACCAAGCGATCACATACTAAACTAGACCATGCTCCTACTTGGCTCTAACAACCCTAATCTTCTATCCACAAAGAGCTATCAGACTTACCCCCAATTCGCTATCCACTAACAACACTTAGGCTTACCCCCAATCCATTAACTAATAACTACACTCGAGCTTACCCCGAATCCACCAACCAATATCTGCACTTGGGCTTACCCCTGATCCGCTAACCAATAAGTACACTCAGGCCCTAACATAACTCATATCGAATAAGCAATAATTAATTACCCTTACCAGGACATTGGGCTATATATCAGACTTCCAAGCCCCAATCAAACGAGAACAGATAAGGTATCCCTCCACACAACTATCAACCTGGGTTCCTAACAACCTACAATATAAAATATAGGGACGCCCTACATATTACTAATACTACCAAAACTATGACAATTTGAAAGGAAATTCAATAGCTGGTGAAAAACTCTAATGTGAAAATCAGAGGGTTTGAACAATCTTTGCGAAAATCTTGAACTGGAGAGATCTGGATGAGGACTGAACCTTGGCATATGATCTTCCTGCTGTGAGGTCTCCACTCTCCCTCACTTGGAGTATTCTAGACTATATTAACTTCAACAATCCTTCAATTCCCATGCCAACTTGAACTCTACTACTTGATCTCACCCTTGACGTCTAGATATATAAGAGGATATGAACCCTTCGACAACATTCAAGAGCTTCTAACTTGAATGCACAAAATATAAGGACAAATATCAATCCAATCATAAATAATAGATTGAAAAAAAATATACAAAACTAATTAACTCAAAATACTTCCACCGATCATCCACGATTACAACTAAACTTTAGAACATAAACATAAAATACAAATGATTCCAACACTATAGTAACCGACTAAATTGAAGAAATGATAACTTAAACTTTAGCCCCCAAAACTCCTGCTGACCCATTCCTTCACCAGGTTACTAATAAGCTAAAGGTGTAGGGTCCAGTACCTCATCAAAAATGAGAAAGCAGTAATGAGTCTGATGTGGCCCTCCTGGCTGCAATTGAAGAAAACCCATGTAATTTTCATGCAATCCTTACCAAAATGTCCACCCTCGCTACACCTATGAAAAGTAAAAGATCGACACCTTCCATCATGAAACCATCCAAACTTTCCACACTCGGATCTCGTCTTAACGACTAATCCTGAACTCGATTCAGTGGACTTGAACCGATTGGTTGCCAACTGATACTGCCTGAAATCTTACCTCTCCTCCTTCTTATGGGTCTCTAACTAAATTTCCCTCCTCCTAGCGCTTAACAGCAGCTCAGACAAAGTCTGATACGACAGTGTCAATACGATCTCTCGAATCTTCGTCTTGAGCATAATCAAGTATAGAGACATCTAGACCTGCTGACCCATGCCGTCACTAGGTTACTAATAAGCTAGAGGTGTAGGGTCCAACACCTCTTCAAATATGTGAAAGCAGTAATTAGTCTGATGTGACCATCCTGGACGAAATTGATGAAAACCCACTTACTTTGCATGCAATCCTTATCGAGATGTCCAACCTTGCCACACCTACGAAAAGTAAAAGATCGACATCTTCCATTGTGAAACCATCCAAACTTTGCACACTCGGATCTCCTCTTAACAACTAATCCTTAAATCGATTCAGTGGACTTGAACTGATTGGTTGCCAACTGATACTGTCCGAAAGCTTACCTCTCCTCCTTCCTATGGGTCTCTAACTAAATTTCCCTCCTCCTAGCGCTTAACAGCAACTCGGACAAGGTCTAATACGACAGTGTCAATACGAACTCTCAAATCTCCATCTTGAGCATACTCAAGTATAGAGACATCTACACCTGCTCTAAAGCAACTTACTCTGAGCAGAAGATGGCTCTTTTTGTGAACATCTTGGTGATCTTCATCATCGACTTTGTCGTCTGCTTAAGTGACATGTACTCATGTACCAGTTGCTATTTCTCTACAAGAGGAACATATTATACAAAAAACTTGTCCTAGGTCACTGCGGCTCGCTCTGTATATGAAAAGCCCTAGGTCACAAACTACCACCAATCCTTCACTATTAAACATAAATTTCATCTTCTGGTTTTCAGGACATGAGCACGTGTAGAAACATCCCTCCACATCAGATATCCATATCAAGGCGATAATCAGGTCCCTATCGCCTGTGAACTTCAGAGGCTTTGTATTAATGAAGTCCCTATACTAATTCGCTCCAACTTTCTAAAATCCTACAATAGTGACAGATGTCGTGGCTGCGGCAATAGCGCCCTACGTGACGATGAAATAGTGTTGGTCAAACTCCTTGATTAATATAGTCTTAACCAAAAAAAAAACTATAGAATTGCCTCCCTGATTGCGACAGCCACCTCGATAATAATGATCCCACGTATCTCCTCATCACTCGAATCCATCCTCTTAGTGCTGCTAACACCCGATCCTGAACCGCTGATAGCCACTGAAATATTTAACGGGAACGGTCAGACATCAAAACACAAAGCTCAACACACAAGACCTCCACATATTAGTTCCTTAGTAGCCTCATGATTCCTTCTGACGCTTATACGGATCTTGTGCTTATAGTAGTACGAGCCAATACTACCTTCCACACCTATCTATAGTCGATTCATAATTAATCCCAAGGTCCTAAGTCACTTCACTAGACCACCCCTAGGTGTACTGGCACCCACACGCTCCTAAGATCCGCAACTAACTTCCTATATACTCCTCTTAGGATTATTCACGATCACGCTCCTGCACCGTTGGTTGCCTTGTGCATGCTATTTGTACACAATACAAGATCAGATAGATACTCAAATAACCGACTCTACCCTAAGTCCACAACATAACAAGGAACATAAAATAAGGCTAAGTTAATCATTCTGTTTTGGTCGAAAAAACAAACAATAAAAAACCAACCAAATTGTATGAGAGGCTATGATGTTCAGGGTAGAATGATCTAAAATGTTAATCAAAGTGACACGAGTGATTTATAAGGAGATCCTTGATCCTTGTTAGGATCTTCAGCATAAAACCTTGCGAGGTGATAATGATCACCTGCCTTGATAGTTTTATTGATTGAAAATGATGATTACAGAGATGTATGTATGAAAAGAAAGTACAAGTATCGTAGTTCTCCTCGGTGTCGTGTGTAGTGTGATGAATACACATGATTTTATAGTCTAAAGCTAATAACAAGAAGTCCAACAATTCCGAGATCCTCCGAGATCAACTTATAGATGTTTCTTGACTTAGTCTTCTGGGCCTTTTGTATGGTTACAACGACTATTCGTTGAGAATAAGTCCTTCGCTGACTATTTCTACACATGTGAGAAAAATAAGAAAGCATATAACCATTATAAACAGTAGGAGAATAAATGAGAATATTGTATCAAAACTTCTTCTAGGCACTTTCTCAAAACATCATACTATTCAAATAAAAGTCCAACTGATTCATTGGTGAGTTTACTGTATTAAAACTTCTTCTGAGCACTTTCTCAAAATCATGCGTCTCCCTGAATATAGTCAACGCTTCCAAATATTCATAATGATAAAGCTTTGTTGGATCACCTTTGTCAAGACTAGGAGGATCATTTTCACATAGTCGAAGTATACTATGAATTTGTCTTTGTTTCTCCATTTCAGCTTCCAGAGCAGCTTTCCTCTCTTCTTTTAACAATTCATGACTTATGCCTTTTCCTTTTCCTTTTCCTTTCTATTGTTCACTTAGATTAGGCTTTGATGAACTAGACACTCCTCCAACAGTTCCAATAACAACGCCCTTTGTGATAGGCCTTATTGTTGTAACTGGTGATGAAGTTACAATTGAAGTTTTTGGTAGAGAAGTTGGAATTTGAGTAATCAAGACTTTTCCAACCACTTTCGCATCACCAGTACCACCTCCAAAACCTCCTTCGCCCTTATTTTCACTCCCACTACCAACAAATCTAGTTTCTCCCCCTTACACCCCTTTGCTCACAGGCGGTGCATTTGTTAGCATAAGGTTGACAAATTTTGCAAGTGGCGCTAAATCGTCGTGAATTGTTGCCTCTAACATGCGAAAAATTTTAGTAAAAGACTCAGGAGAAACAACCGAAGACTTTGAAGAACCGTACTTCGAAAAAAGATCCTTTAACTCTTTCACCAAGTTTTCAACATTCCCAAAGCTATTAGCATCAACCTCTGCTTTCTTATCAAATTTCACCTCCCAAGGAAGTATAAAGAGCAACTGCTTTGCCCACAACATCTACAATTATATCTACCTTAATGTGAAGTGTAGAATAATTATGATCTAAGGTAGCTATCTCCTTCGTCATGTATTCTCTTAATTCTTGAACTTTGAGATTCACATTTTCACGAACCATCTTCACATCTTGAACAAAAAGAATATGTTGAGACTTGGCAGTTTCTTTCAATTCATGAATTTCACTATTAAAAGAATCAAGTTGAGATTTGATCCATAACTCAGCAGACTCGTCCATTCGATTAAGCTTATCCAATATACAATGCTCTTGAGCTTGTAACATAACATCAACATCAAGAGCGCATATCAAATTTTTACCACCAGCATTAGCTTGCAATTGAAGTAAAGAGTTTAGCTTCCTATTCAAAAATTTAAACTGCTTTCCTAACATCAACATATGATAAGGAATGTTTTCTTCCTCAGAATTGAAATGTATTTAAGAAAAAAAACCTATAACGCCACCATCATCCATTTCATCTTCTTTAACAGCTTGTGGTTCGTCAGGGGATTGGGAAGGAAACAAAGAGGTAATAGGTTGTTGGATACTGTTTCCAAAAATAGGAGAATGAGAAAAAGAAGGATTTTGAGATGTATTGGGAACAATATATGGTGGTAATGAAACAGTGGTGTCAAGAACAGAAGTAGGAAGAGATGAAGATATAACGAAAGTAGTATTACCTTGGTTTTCGTTATGTAAAACTCCTTCACCCATATTAACATTTACATCCATATCAGATACGTTTTCATTGATGTTTGAAGTTCATACCTCCTCATTAAATGACTCAGTATTAGAAACTTTCCGGTGGTATGACCAGGGTCTGCTTGGAAGTAGATTGTTGTGGTTGTTCTTCGTGATCAATGGTTGTGTCCACTGTAGAAGTTTCTACAGTGGACATCAAGATTCCCAGTCTCCTTGAAAGTCAACTGAACTGGATAATCTCTCACCGGTGAAGAATGACCTAATGTATCACTGACTGGAGTGTCAGGAATCACTTCTTCGTCATTTGAGTCTTCTTACAAAACTAACATCCTCTACTTCTTTTGTTTCTTCTGTTTCGTAGAAATGTGTTTGGCCATGTCTTCAGCACACCTCTTCTTAGATTTTGGAGAAACATGTGATGGAATTTCACAAGAGACCACCCCCTTTCGTGTCAATTGAGGTTTATAATGAAATTTTAGAGAAAAACTTATCGATTTTTCATGTGAACTATAAGCCATTTTCTTCAATCGTTTAAGAACACCATATTTCATATCAACAACCTCTTTTTCAGGAATGATAAGTTCAGTAACTATGAGTGGATGATCCTTCTTCTTCAAAACTTTATCACCTTTAGCTTTTGTCTTAGAATCTTTTTCAGGACTCACATGAGGATGACTCTCCTAAAATTTCTTCTTGGATCCTCTTTTCGTTTTTGAATAACCTTCAGCTGAAGCATCCAACAATTTTTCAGCTTCAATTGAAGGCATAATTGTTGTCAAGTATTCGACCAGAACTGGATTGACAGGATCAACTTTTTGAAGCATCGCATCAGGAATGCGAGCTACAGAAGGAAAAACATCAACGTCATCCTCCATATATATATATATATATATATATATATATATATATATATATATATATATATATATATAGGATAATAATAGGTAGCAAAATCTTCCAATTCATCAGTGTCAGAAGAAAAAACCTCCAACTGCAACATCAAGCTCCAGTATCGAGCACACAAAATTCCATCAACAACATTTGTGTTCTCAATACTCTTGAGAAATTCCTTCCAAAGTTGAGCCACGTAATCCACTTGTAATTGTAGTAGATTCCACCAACCATAGCATACACTTCGAATCGGCCTTTATCTAATCCTACTATTCTTCCAGTTAAACAACGAAGATAGATTCCAAACATAAAGTTCCAAAGACATGTTAAACCAGACTTCTTGAAGTCACTAATGTGACATCCCCAAAATCACGGCCAGAAAAGACCGATTTTGTTTATGCTTTATAAAAATCAGAGTACTTCATTTTATAAAAAGGTTGCGGAATTTGTTCCCAGAAAAACACGATGAATACGTTATTAAAACATTTTTGAAGAAACATATTTTTATTCATCTTAAAACGTTTGGGATGTCATCGTTAATACAGAAACATAAGCATAAACAGAACTTACAATTATTTACACTAGTGATCTACATCTCTTTAACTCTCTCAGTGTAATGTCACTTCATATCGCCACCTGTGATGTAAATAAACTGAGTGGGTCAGGTTGGGAAACCTGGTGAGTACATAGGGTTTTCAACCCACAATAATATAATTGTTATGTTCAATCATCAAACACTTAACCCAATTACCCATCCCCGTTATCTTCTTTACTCCTAAGAGTCATCTATCCTGCATTCGTTTATTCCAAAGTCCCTTACTTCTATTACCCATCCCCGTTATCTTCTTTACTCCTAAGAGTCATCTATCCTGCATTCGTTTATTCCAAAGTCCCTTACTTCTATTACCCATCCCCGTTATCTTCTTTACTCCTAAGAGTCATCTATCCTGCATTCGTTTATTCCAAAGTCCCTTACTATAGGACTGGCACTAAATCCATAGCTGCCGATGTTCGTTCAAAAAGCACTAATTCCGTAGCTGCTATAGTCTATTCATCGGGTACTAAATCCATAGCTACCAGTCTTTATCTAATAGGTACGAAGTCCATAGCTACCAATGTTCAACAGGTACTAAGTCCATAGCTACCAATTCCTACAGGTACTAAATCCTTAGCTACCAGCATCTAACTAATAGGTACTAAGTCCATAGCTACCAATTCCCAACAGGTACTAAATCCGTAGCTACCAACGTCTAATAGGTACTAAGTCCATAGCTACCAGTGTTTGTCCCATAGGCACTAAGTCTATAGCTGCCAATGTATACTCACATCATCTTCTATCTCTCATCATTCATCTACCCATCATCATACCCAACATATTCGTATATATAAAATACGTATACAGTTTAAATCCTTTAAAAACATGTATAAAACGTTCATCCAGCATAGACAACAAGTATTCAGATAATATTCACACATAGCACGTAGTTTATATAAAATACTTCATATCTATGTGTAAGATGAAAGGGACTATGCACTCACTTGATAGGTGATGACTCAACACTCAGACAACGCTTCGATACTCTCAACACAATTTGCTTCAATAAAACCTAGTATCAACACCACTAGGTTTAGTCTAATGATAACCGCGACTAATTAATAGTATAGCTATTATTATTATTATATAAGCGCTAAATAACACTCAATATAACTCATAATAATAGCCCAAACAATTATTTTAAGGTCCTAATAATGTTACTATAATTAATTAGAAGCTATATAAAAACTAGTGTAGGCGTAGCTCACTTACAGCGGGTTTTTCGCAAAACCGAGCTTCACTGGAGCAGCGTTTCCCGAGCCGAAAGGCTCTTTTCTCAGAGCCGTCGGGCACTCCGGGGCTTCCGCCTCGTGCTAGGGAGTTACCCTAGGCTTTAGGGGGTTAGGGAGGCTTAGAGAGAGAGTTTAGAGAGAGAAAGAAGGTTTGGGAGGTGTGAGAATGAATGGAACTTGGCACCTCTATTTATAGGGGAGAAATATGATGGACTCGCCGAGTTGGTGCATGTGGCAACCTTCTGGTGGTGCCACATGTCCAATTCTGGTGGTGCCACGTCACCCCCTATCGCGTATCAGCCTTCAAACTTAGAAAAATCATAACTTTCGCATACGAGCTCTGTTTTCGACGTTCTTTATATCCACGCGTAGGTAAAATCAAGATCTACAACTTTCGTTTAGACTCCGTCGGCTAATTCTCGACCAATCTCAAATTTAACAGTAGGAGGCGTTTAGACTGTTAAATGACCGCGAAGATATCATAACTCCTTCATACGGACTCCGTTTTCGTCTGTCTTTTTACCGTTGAGTTCCTATTAATGAGACCTTCAACTCTCATTTAGGTTGAGTAAGCCAAAAACCGCTCGAACTAACATTCAAGTTTCGGGCTGTACACTGCTAAACCGAATCTTAGAAAAATCATAACTTCCTCATACGAAGTCAGATTTGGGCGTTCTTTTTATCGACGCTCTTAGTTTAACATATTCTACGAATTTCATTTAGATCACTAAGGCTAAAAATTCCTCCATCGTAAATTCACTATTTACGCTTCCCGGTGTCGTGCCGGTCCCGTTGCGAAACTTCGATGGGCCATAACTTCTTCGTTATAACTCGGATTTCAGCGTTCTTTATATGTACGGAAACCTTGTGACATATTCTACAACTTGGTTAAGATTATTTATTCTAAATAATCTTTTGTCGAAAAGTCATTTTTGACCCCTATTGCCTCTAACTTGACTAGCCCGGATCTACGGGCGTTACAATTATCTCCCCCTTAGGATGATTACGTCCCGAAATCATCAACGAAAAAGGGCTCACATGATGACTCCATTTGTTATCTATTCATCCTAAGTCATAACTTCGATGTTTCGTCGAACGAGTATCTAACTCTTAGACTCCTTGACTACAAGCGGTGCTCAATCTTGCATACGCTCTCTATCTCACATTAGACTGCAAATTATGACCTTCAAGTCACAATCTCGATCCTCACTGGATACGAACTTAAGATAAGTTATTTTATTAATACAATGGACCGATGTGTCATATTCTAATGACCTCTCATCGTATGTTGCAATGCTCAGACTCAGGTCTCTTAGAGTCAAATTCCAGAACAGTCTATACCTTCCTTCATGTTCTAGTCACATCTAAAAAGGTAGCATCTCTAGCAACCATCTTCTTTTAACAACGAGTGCGATACTTCTATTGATCGCTTTGATTTCAATCGTTTGGTTTAAGTCGGACGCTACATCAAACTTGGTTCTCTGAACCACGTAACATACTCATCGTAGTCGGACTCAATTCGATATGACCACTAGGGTCAGAATATCAACAATCATCTTAGTCATTACCGAAACAATGGTAACAACACACTTGAATAAATCGAAATCAATTACTAGTTTCTTGGTAACCTTGTGACTTTCCCTGATCCAAGCGTGAGTCTTGTGCTTCCGGTAGTATATGCATCTACTACCTTTCACACCTACTCATACTCGTCCCAAGTATTGTCTCGCAGTTTTCCCAAGTTATTATCACAAAAAAAATTAACACATAAAAATGTGTCCAAACAATCACAAAATTTTCCCTAGACTCTACTAGGACTTCTTCTATGCGTATCTTCAATCATCAATTCTGCTTCAGCTAGGTGGAAATACCATACGATGGGTCAACTTCATGAATTACGCCAATCATTCCGTCATCCTGCCAATCGAAGGTGTACTTCAGATGTACTGTACTCCTCTAAACGTACAACATGACATATTCTAAAGGCAAGATACCACTCTTATGATATCTTCCGATAGGTGTCATTCACTATCGTAAGCCTTTTCATTTCCTCCACTTACTCAATTCTCTATGAGTCCTTATCATGACATTCTATTCTCCAAAGCAAGTGTTTGGTGTATCGAGACGAGAGTATAGATAGAGGAAGAATTAGACGCGTATTCCTCCTTATTACTCCAAAAAGTTACATTCCAATTCTAATATCGTAATTAAACGTTTAGAAACCTGAGCACATAAAATTTCCAGATTCGGTCGGTAACAGACCATAGATCCGATCATATAATGCATATCATAAATCATTTAGCACATAAAAGCATGTTAGGAATTTTCCCTAAATAAGCTAGTGCTTGTGTCTATTCAGGTGTATTACCTAAATTTTATTAAACACACTCCTCACAATCATTGCTTAGCATTCTAAGTTTAAGTCTAGAAATAAATCCATATTCCTAGTTCGCTTAAACTAATGCTCTGATACCAACTGTGACATCCCCAAAATCACGGCCATAAAAGACCGATTTTGTTTATGCTTTATAAAAATCAGAGTACTTCATTTTATAAAAAGGTTGCGGAATTTGTTCCCAAAAAAACACGATGAATACGTTATTAAAACATTTTCAAAGAAACATATTTTTATTCATCTTAAAACGTTTGGGATGTCATCGTTAATACAGAAACATAAGCATAAATAGAACTTACAATTATTTACACTAGTGATCTACATCTCTTTAAATCTCTCAGTGTAATGTCACTTCATATCGCCAGTTGTGATGTAAATAAACTGAGTGGGTCAGGTTGGGAAACCTGGTGAGTACATAGGCTTTTCAACCCACAATAATATAATTGTTATGTTCAATCATCAAACAATTAACCCAATTACCCATCCCCATTATCTTATTTACTCCTAAGAGTCATCTATCCTGCATTCGTTTATTCCAAAGTCCCTTACTTCCAGGGTTATAGGACTGGCACTAAATCCATAGCTGCCAATGTTCATTCATAAAGCACTAATTCCATAGCTGCTATAGTCTATTCACCGGGTACTAAATCCATAGCTACCAGTCTTTATCTAATAGGTACTAAGTCCATAGCTACCAATGTTCAACAGGTACTAAGTCCATAGCTACCAATTCCTACAGGTACTAAATCCTTAGCTACCAAC